GGAAGGAGTATTGTTGTACATATTCTTTATCTCTTGCCTTCCTTTCTTCACTGAGGTTATGTACTTTCTTTGTCGTTCCTTTTATAAACTTAATTGCTAACTATTTGCCAGGTTTATTAACAAATTCAAAATGTTTTTGTTTGCCATATTTCATCCCCCCCCCCCCCCAATTTGGTATGTTAGTAGCATTGATGCTTGAATTCTTAGTTGTTTCAATTGCTGTGATGTTGTTTCACTTAATAATTGTTTTTTACTTTCCTTTTTTTCTTAGATAGCTTCTTGTATTTGATTAATCTTTTCTCGTTGTCTGTCTTGTGTGTTTAGTTGTATTAACCTCCCTCATAAGTAGGTTTTTAGTGTATCCCATATTATATTAAGGTGCATTCCTTCACTTTCATTCATCTTAAAGAATTATTTCTTTTTAAAACTTTTTGGATATTTTCAGGTTTCTTTAATCACATGACATATGTCTTGTAGTAGGTTTAGCAGTATCAACTGGAATTTTCTTCTGGCATTTCTCTGTCGTATTTTACTAAATAATGCAACTGCTGCCCAAGGAGCTCACAGTTTAGAGTAGAGTAATATATGGAAAAATATAGTAACATATAATGGAAAATAGAAAGAAAGTTGAGGTTTCTAAATTCTTACAGTAGTGATGAAGTAGAAAGGACTAGGAAGGAAAGGGGCAAGAAACACTCCAACAGATACACTTTTTCTAGTTAATGGTTAAAACCAGGGACCTCTTAACACAGTTTTTTCAGTCCTGTTTATCCAGTTGTTGATGGAGAGGAAAGTGGGGAAGAAGGGTTTTTCCTCCCTCTTTCTCCATATGATGGAGGAAAAGACAATGGGGCAGTGCGTGTTGCTGTCCTTTCTCTCATCTGATGGGGACAGGGAGAGGGATGGGGCGTCCTATTCCCATCATATGATAGGGAACAAGGGAAAGCGGACCTGGCACGACAAGGAACCTCATGTGCTTTCCCTTTTGCTGGTAACTACCAGCAAAACAGCATGGCCCAGGAGCCATGTGAAGAGGTCCTAAATCTGTCTCCTTCCTACATTGGCACCCTTTGTGTGAGGCAGAAAGAGTATCCAACATGAACTGGGCATTAAGCAGACATTTTGTGAACTATTTCCCTCCTGCTCATTTTGCTGCATTCAGCACCTTTCTTTTGTTATTGAGCTCTGGGATGGCATTCCTAAAGACCTACATGTGATTCTACAATATTTCAAGTTGAAGGTTAAAACTTTTCTGTTTGCTTTGACATTTTAAAGAGTTATGCTCAAGGTGTGCAAGCAGCTTGGCTAGCAGATTGTATTTGCTTATCAGTCCATAAAAATAATGAAGACCATTGATTTCTAGGATTTATTTTGTTTAAACAATTGTAGTGGCTGCGGTGTGTACAATCAAATGGTTGTCTTCGAGTCATAGCCATTTGAAGAACTACCATAGAATCGGTGTCTGTGTATCATGGCTTGGCAACTGCAGAGCCAGTTTACTTCTATGATGTCTTGGTGGACAACCGCCCCTCCAGTTCCCCCGAAATTGGCTTGAGAACCAGGAGTTACTCCTGGTTTTTGGATTTTGACTACTGATTTGTATGGGGAGTTTTGGAGAGGGGAATTGGGAATGTTCTCCAATTTCAGACAGTTGTGCTGCGAAGTTTGTGAAAGTGTAGTTTGGCAGCCCTGTAGCTTAGTCATGTAACAGGATGGTAGTCTGATGGGTTTGCTTCAATGTGGGTCTGTGTATTAAAGGCCGGAGCTCTTAGAAGCATCCACACAAATAAACACAAGTTGTGAACAAATAGTTTTCATTTGCCTTGTATGTAGATGTCTTATTTGCTTTAGCAATTGTACTCCGATTTAGAAAAAAATAAACCATAGCCGCAATGTGTTAAGATTTATTTATTTTTTTTAAAAAATCCATTTATAGAGTAACTCCCCTATTCACTTGAATCTAATGCTCATCTTTTCTTTTCTTTTTTGCTAAGTTACCTCATCAAAACTAAGGTGCTCATTACATTTGTGTAATATGGTAATCTTAGTACTAAACTAAAGCAAAAGGGGAAGCTGCTTAAGGAGCACCTGGAGCTCCTGTTTGAGGGACATGTCTCTAATTTAATGGCCATGGCTCAATGCTATAGAATCCTGGGATTTGTAGTTTGGTAAAAAGCATCAGCATTCTTTAACAAGCAAAGCTCAAGACCATGTAAAACTACTTGCATTGAGCCAAGGCGATTAAACTGGATTCATTCTACGTCATAGATGCATCCCAAGGTTTTCTTTTCTATTCTTGGAAGCTTTGATGTTGTAACTTTGGTGATGCAAGGCCTAAATGTTTTATGTTGTATCTGTGATTGCTGTTACAGTTTTATAGTTTTAATTCTTTTAATCTATGTTATTGTTGTTGAGTTGATATATGATGTTTATACATGTGAGGCATTGGATTTTGCCATTGATTGTGCTGTGAACCGCTTAGAGTCCCCCCAGGGGTGAGAAAGGCAGCATATAAATGCCATAAATAAATAAATTACAAATAGTGTTCTTTTTGTCGCTGCACATTACATTCGGCAGCAAATACTATTTTTGGTTTCAGGGTTTTGAAAATTGAGGTGCGCATTAGATTTGAGAATGCACTTGAGTAAATATAGGTGATTTTAAGTCAGGACTCTACTGAGATTAATAGAATCATAGAGTTGGAAGAGACCTGGTTGGCCATCCAGTCCAACATCTATATTATTTAACATCTATATGCGACCGTTTGCCCAACTGGTGTGGAGCTTTGGGCTTGAGTGCCACCAGTACGCTGATGACACTAAGCTCATTCTGAGGATGGAGGGCCGGCCGGACTCTGTACCCGAAAATTTCCATCAGTGCCTTGAGGCCGTTACTGGATGGTTGCATGCCAGCAGGTTGAGGGTGAATCCAGCGAAGATCCTTTGGCTGGGCTGTCCAGGTGGGAGGGAGGTCCAGCTGCCTACCCTGGATGGCGAGACACTACGTCCGTCATCTTCTGTAAAAAGCCTTGGTGTCTTATTGGACCCTCTGCTCACAATGGAGGCCCAGGTCTCTGCTGTGAGCAGATCTGCATTTTTCCACCTACGTCAGACTAGGCGACTGGCTCCCTTCCTATCTAGGAACGACCTGGCTACGCTGATCCAGGCGACGGTCATCTCGAGGCTTGACTACTGTAACGCCCTCTACATTGGCCTTCCTTTGTCAGTGATCTGGAAACTGAAGCTGGTGCAAAATGCGGTGGCTCGTCTTCTTGCCGGGGTGCCGGCGAGGTGTCGTATCACCCCAATTCTACAACAGCTACATTGGCTTCCGATTGAGTACCGGATTACTTTCAAGGTGCTGGTACTAACCTTTAAGGCCTTATATGGTCTGGGGCCGGCGTACCTGAAGGCCCGCTTATCCCCCTACCAACCCCAGAGATTACTTCGGTCCAAGGACCAAAATTTGCTTGAAGTCCCCAACATCCGGACTTATCATCTACTAGGCAGAGAGCCTTCTCGATTGTGGCCACTTATTTATGGAATGCCTTGCCAGTTGAAACCCGAACCATCTGAGAGCTACTTGCTTTTCGGAAAGCCTGTAAAACCTTTCTTTTCCGACAAGCTTTCGACAAGCTTTCGATGGGTGAATAACTCGGGACTATGTCAGTTTTGCGTTTTTATTGTATTTTAAAGTTGGTTGTATTGTTTTAATCTACTGCTGTAAACCGCTCCGAGCCAAATTGGGAGTGGTGGTATAAAAGTCAAATAAATAAATAAACCAGCCCCAAGAAGCAGGAAAATCACATTCAAAGCAGAAAGAAGCAGGAAAATCGCATTCACAGCAGAAAGAGTTAGAGATGAGATTTTAAGACGGGACTAGAGTGAAGGAAGGGGATTGGTGGAAGGGGTGTAATTTCAAGACAGGAATAAATTGAGGAAGGGATAGAAGGAGAAGGTGGAAATGTTTGCAAAGGACATGATTCTATGCTAGGGCTAGACTGAAGAAGGGAGCAGAAGGGAGCATTTCTGCAACATGTGATTGCTGTAGGAAGCCAAGGCTTCACATTGCTAAGGTGCAGCAAGCATTTAAACTTTAAATATACTTTAAAGTATATGGGCTCTCCACTTTGCAAGGAAGAGCTCCAAAATTTGGTGGGGGGGGGGGGTTGTACTATTGGGTCTTAGGGGCCACATGTGGCCCACACTCCATACTTTGCCAGCCTGTTACTTCACTGAAAAAAAATGATTAAAGCTGAGCATTCATTGGTCACTAAGGGTAATTTGCCTTAGTTTTCATATATAGCACATGCAATAGGCTCCCCACACCTACAGATTCAACTATCCATAGCTTGAAAATATTTTAAAGAAAATCCCTTAAAGGAAACCTTAATTTCTCTGTTTTATATAAGAAACACCATTTTACTACATCATTGTATCTAATGGGACTTGATGAACATCCACATATTTTGATATCCACAGGGGTCCTGGAACTAAGGTCCTACTGTATAAATAATGTCTTCATTTTCAACTTAAACTTTGAATATATTTTAATGGTTTTTAACTCTGGGATTTTTAATAGTGTTTATATTTAAATTTGTTTTAATGTATATTTTAAATTGTATACAAATGCTTTTATGTTTAGCTGCTTTGAGTCTCCTTTGGAGAGATAAAGCTGGGTATAAATAAATATAACTAACAAACAAATAAATAAATATACATTTGTTTTGAACACATTTGCTGGTGTTAAATTGAAAGATTATTCCAGCTTTTGTGTCAGTGGTATCAAGAAATATTTAAAATGTCCTGGATTATAGGTTATATTAAGTCTTATAGACCTTTTCTAGTGAAATAGTGACTTTTGTTAGCAGGCTAAGGAGGGGGGAAATCCAGATCCCACTTGTGGGGTGAAGGGACGGGGTGCCTTTTTCATGGTCTATTTCACTCAATAAGTGTGAAAACAACTAATGTTTCTTCGTGTTATCTTTGTTTTCTATTCAGGCAATTGGTGGATATTTTGATATATGTTTTGAGAAGAATTGCAACAAACAAGTGAGTACTTGAAAGCGACATGCTTCCACTTAATTGTTAAAATATGTTTTTGTCAGCTTTTTGCCTGCAGGTGTTTGAACACGTCAGTGTAGCGTGTATTAAATGCATGTGTGTTAGTCTAGGATATTAATGTGGCATGTCATTACGTCATGTACTTCATCTGAGATTTTTGAACTCTGTCCCTGCAGATACGGTTTTCAACTAGTCCTTGTTGTGCCAAAACACACTGGAAACAAACAATATTTTTTCTGGAGAACCCAATTTCTGTAGAAGAAGGTACAGTATTTGTTTGATAAATAGATTTTCTGTAATACCAATTGCCACTAGACATACTTCCAAAATTATAGCAAGTGCTAAAACAGTATGCCTAGGATTTCCTGTTCACCATTAAAAATACTAACAATCTCCAGCAATTCTGTTCTGCTTTGGACTGTATGGATGGTTGTCTGCACATTCAAAAAAATAATGTGCTGCTTTAAACAAGATTCAGCTCTTTTAAACAGTGTGATGATTGAATATTCTCTCTTTTGTGTTTTTGACTATATTGCTCAATTTTATATAAAAACATTCAAACTACTTTTCACCTCCAGGTGATATAGCCTAGTAAAATACTAAATACTTGGTTTGCTCAATGAGTGGCTTGACTCCTACATCTTTAAAATACCATCGATAGCCAGTGTGTTGTAGTAGTTTGAGCACTGGAGTACAACTTTAGAAACCAGGTCGAAATATTCTCTTTGCTTACTGGAGCCCCATCTAAACTGCGATACAATGCAGTTTGAATTTCATTATATAGTCAGTGTAGACTCATAATCAAGACTGAGATGTATTGAACTGGGTTATATGACTCTATACTGCCATACAATCTAGTTCAATGCAGTTATTCTGCATTCTTAAACTGCATTGTATGGCAGTGTAGCTGGGGCTTGTTTGACCTTGGGCATGTCACACTTTTTCGCCTCAGAAGAAGACAAAGAAGACAAAGCAGCAAAAATATTTGCTGCTGGGCTGGGGGGGGGGGGCGGCAGCAGCAGCAAATATTGTCAAGAAAACCTTAGAGTCAACATAATTCAGGGTAACTTGAAGGCATGAATAGTAATTCCTTATTTGTTCAAGAAGTGTAGAGCAAGTTAGTAATTACATCAGGGATGAGAAACTGGGGGATGCCTCTGGGGGTGGGGTACCTTGGAATAGCACACCCCTAAAAATACTATAAGTTCCAGGTTGGAACATTTTTGACATGTTTTTAGGCCATTTGAGTCCCAGGAGAGTTCTTAACAACAGGAATTTACTTTCTGTTTACATCCTGGTTGTTGTGTTTTTTAAAGGTCCCTCTTGGGACTAAAGTGTCCCAGGGTCCACCTGAAATGTAGAAGCAGTATCCCACACCTCTAAAGGGGTTTTGAATAAAATAATTTATGCCCCTTTGGGGGCTACAAAGTGGCCCAGGGAACCACATGCATGCCATAGTTTGCCCATTTCTGGATGAGAGAGAGAGGGGGAAAACGAAGCCTGATGAGGAATGACTTAGGGAGCTGAGTCTATTTAGATTGAAGAAAAGAAAGCTGAGAGGGAACATGATAGCAATATTTGAAAAGATGTCAACATTGAGGAAAGGGTAAGCTTGTTTTCTGCTGCTCTGGAGACCTAGACACAGAGCAATGGATTCAAATTGCAAATAAAATAAAATAAAAATATTTCACCAAAAGATTAGAAAGAATTTCGTACTGTAAGAACTATTCAACAGTGGAGCGTAGTGGAGTCTCCTTCTCTGAAGGTTTTAAAGCAGAGACTGAATTACCATCTGTCGGGTGTTTTGATTGTGTGTTCCTACATGGCAGGGAGTTGGACTGGATGGCCAGCTCTCTGATTCTATGAGAGAGATTGAGAGTGGGAAAGAGAGAGAGGGAGTGCATTAACACCTGTTAGAGTATATCTTCTATTTATGTAGCAAAGCATATATCTAGCCATAAAGTCCCAAATAATTATGTATCACAAAATTAATCATGTATAATTTCAAGAGTAATGAAATATTTAACATATATACATGCAATAGACATGTTCACTCATTCTCCATGCATAACTGTGCCATGAGGAGAAGTGGCCACAGGATTCTACACATCTTCACCAGAAAAGAATATGCTTCATATTGGATTTGTAGTTTTAGAATACAGCACAGATGTGATGTGAGGACAGTCCACATATGAGTAAGAACAACTATATCATTTTAAACTGAATGTGGGCAGAAGGTATTCATTTGCTTCCCAGCTTATCTTTCAGCCATCTAGTCTAGGATGTCTGTAAGGTGTCATCTCTTAGACTTCCAAAAGGTAGGTACGTAAGGTCAGTTCTCCATATTCATGGATTCTGCATCCATGACTTGAAAATATAAAAAATCCAGAAAGTCAACCTTGATTTTGCCATTTTATAGAAAGAGCACCATTCTGCTACGCTATCGTATAGAATAGTATTTGAGCATTCCATGTTTTTGGTATTTGGGAGGGCAGGGAGGTTCTGAAACCAAACTCTAGCATATACCAAGGGTATATACCAAGCATATACCATTCTACCTGATGTTTCCAGGTAGAAATACAAAAAACAATGCAGTACAATATAATGCAAACTGATAAGTACATACAATGAAAATATGTAAATCATAAGAGTTGAGTCAAAGTTTAAACAGGAAGCTCCAACTCAACTTTAAAAAAAATAGGTAACGAGTGAAGAGATATCAAAAGTGGACTAACAAGATCAAAATGACAAACAAAAAGATAATCTTAGGAGGATAATTTTTTTCCTAACATGTCAGAAGCAACTTGAGAAACTGCAAGTCACTTCTGATGTGAGAGAATTGACCGTCTGCAGAGATATTCCCCAGGGGATGCCCGGATGTGTTACCATCCTGTGGGAGGCTTCTCTCATGTCCCCGCATGGGAAACTGGAGCTGACAGGCAGGAGCTCACATTGTCTTGTGGATTTGAACCGCCAACGTTCAGGTCAGCAGTTCAGCCAGCACAAGGGTTTAACCCATTGCACCACCATGGCTACAGGAGAATGTTGAACAGAAACCAGAGAGCTAACATGAGGTAACAGAAATTCAGTCAAAGAGAAATACAGTAATAAAAGTGTGAAATGGCCAATTCTTTGCAGATAGAAAAGGTCTGCTTCTGGCAATGTTAATAAAGAAAAAAGTGACATGACCTCACTTCAGGATTAATGCAAGGAACATTAGTTTTACATTAATAAATGTAACATGACATTTATCTGGAGACACACTTAACATTAAAAAAGTATATCAAGATTTACCTGACCTGATCTCTCTCTTTTCTAAGGTTCAGTGACTTTCAGAACAATCAGTCTTGAGCATATGTACCCAGTAAGATTATGATCTTTCTAGACCAGTGATTACAGTAATTCTGGTTCTTATTGCATCCTTTCCATTTTTTATGAAATCCCTATATTGAATTATTCCTCATCATAATCTCTCCTTTTGTTAACTACTCAGTTGCATAAACTACATCATTGTACAGCCAGCTCTCCAATTTTGGAGGTAGGGGCACAGTACCCACAAAAATAGAATATAGTAGACTCCCAAATCTTAACTCTTAACAAACCAAAAAGTAACACACGCACAAAAGACAGAAAAGTGTTTGGGATTTCAGGTTTTTTTTTTTCAGATTTCACAATACCTGTATTTCCATATACATGCATAAAGTGAGATCCAAGTCTAAACACAATGTTTATTTATGTTATATATACACCTTATACACCTAGCCTGAAATTAATTTTATGCACGTTATTTAATTAATTTTGTGACTAAAACAAAGTTTGTGTGGATTAAATAATCAGAAAGCAATATCAGCCACCCATGTGGATAGTTCTGAATTGTGTAGTATTTAGATTTTGGAATTCCTGATAAGTTATTTCCATTTTGCTACTTTATCAAACAAGTTTGAGTGCTGTAATGTAAAACAAAAAACAAAATCTGCATATCAAAAGCTACCCTTTCAGAAGTATCCTCTCTGGTATATTAGCTTCCTGTTAACAGAAATTTTATTTCATGGAAAGACATGCAGAAGTGGGCACCTGCAGTCTCAGGGGTGGAAACAATTCTTCTGGTAGTGAGAATGTAACAAGTAACATTTTGAATTTTATTCTTACTTTGCTATTTTTTACCTTGCTGTGTTCTCTGCTATATTAGTGAATAGTTTCTTTAGGGAATATTTGTACCTTTACCTTTTTCTTCATTACAGCTTCAGTTTCTTGGGCATCTACCAAATAATAGCAATAAAGGGAGAATTATCAGTAACTTCCGTTGCCATTGGATACAGGAGAAATGTGACAGCGTAAAAAATCTTTAGTTGCTTGAAGCAGCAAGAAAAGAGGGAAGGCATTATTAACAACAAACTCCAGCAATATGTCAGGAAATCTTCACATTGCTGTTGCATTTAATAAATGGGATAACTGGAGAAAATTATACTTACTGGTATATTTAATGCTTCTTGAGCAACATGGGAATCCTCGTCTGTATTCTTCTTTAATTTCCAGTTCTCTGAAATTGAAATGTTCATAGAGTCTACAGTATAAGATAACCTCATTCAGTTTACTGGGTTAGATTCAGAGGTCTGCAAGTGCAACTGGGGGCTCTGCACCACCATTAACAGAAGTGGATGAAAATAAATGTATCCCAGTTCCCAATTCTCTAATGCCCTACCCAAATTCTCTAGAGAGCAGAACGAACACTGAAGGAAAGCAAAATATGGAAACAGTAACTCTCTCACTTCCTTTTATGAAACCTCAATGTCCATTCACTCAAAACTCATTCCAGGCATGGAAGGAGCTCTTCCATAAATGGACTCCTTTCATTCCCCAAAACAAATCTGCTAGATCAAATTCATTATGTAGAGTGTCTTCAGAACTGGGCTCTCCAGCAAGATTTGAAATTATAACAACTCTTGTACATCATACTTTTAGATCCCATATTTTCACATGTCAGTGGTGATACTGTACAATTCAATACAAGTTGAATATCCCTTATCCAGAATTCTGAAACCCAAAATACTCCAAAATTGTCCATATGGGTGGCTGAGACAGTTACACCTTTTGTTTCCTGATGTTATAATGTATGCAAACTTTATATCATGCTCAATGTTATTAAAATATTCATAGAATCATAGAGTTGGAAGAGATCTCATGGGCCATCCAGTCCAACCCCCTGCCAAGAAGCAGGAATATTGCATTCAAATCACCCCTAACAGATGGCCATCCAGCTTCTG